TGGATACCCAAAACTTCCTTCACTCTTTATTTGGATACCCAAACCTTTGCTCTCAGTGCCAAAAGCCCGCTCAATCTGGTCTGAGGTGGTTTCACAGAATAACTCCCATGTTTTATTTTCATCATGAAAGTTTTCACCTATTTTCTTTTCTTTTTCTGTATTTCACWCTGAAATGAGAGCCAAGGCTGTCAKCTGCTGCTGGAGCTAAAAGCAGAACTCAAGGGAAAACCCTCACATGGGAGTTAACGTGAAATAGTCATGTACACGTGTGTGTGTGTGTGGATGTATGTCAGAGTCAGTGAAGAAAATAGTCTGATAGCTATTTCCATATGTCTGACAAAACCAAAAAAAAAAAAAAAGTGAGTTTTCAAGTCTGAAGATGAACTATCAAAATAGCTGTACATCAAAAATAGCCAGCACAGAAAAGGATTGCCTCTGGGAGGATGCTCCTCCCAAGTATCAGTTTCCATGTGTGCATCAGCACTGACTGCTTGGATTATGAATCAAAAGATTCTATTAAAATTTCATTAGAAGTGTATTTTTTCCTCATATGGGAAATTAGAAAGCATTTGTCTTCAGCAAAAGCTAGAGTTTGTCCCAAACTAGAGTTTGTCAGCAATTTTTCAGCCATATAATTAGAAAAAAAAAATGCTTAAGAGAAAAATGATGAATGGATGCTACGTTTACTACTGAAATGTAACTGCCTTTGGGCAATGAGGAAATACTTCACCAGCACACAGGGCCTGCAATGGCCCCGTTTGGGAATCATAAACCTGGCAGGAATGGATGTGGTCAAGTGGCATAATGTTAATAATGCTCTTTATTAACATCAGAGCACTGTGCTCTCATGGAGAAGTCAATATCTGTGAGTCCAGAACTTATTAAGGGAAGTAATGGAAGTTATTAATGATCAAAATTCTTCTTTTTAGGGGGCCTCAGGGCTTTGTCAGTCTGTGTGTGTACACGTGTGTTCACGTGTTGCACAGGAGAGCAAAGCTTCTGTTGACTGTGAAAATCCAAAAAAACCCAACAATCAAATCCTCCCTTTGTGCTGCTGTCTCTGCATCACTGCCAGATCACTTTCTCTGAAAGAAATGGAAATATTCCCAGATTCCCAGGCAGATTCCCTGAACCCCAGGAGGTTCCAGCCAGGACAGATCAGGGATGGTCCTGAGCAGCTCCAGGGCTCATCTCCCCCAGCCCTGCCTGCTGGACCTGCAGCAATCACAGGATTCTTTCAGAGTTCACTTCAGCTCCCCTTTTAACCAAATCTGAAACCTCTGAAGGTGTTTGCTCTTCCTTGGCATGGCAATATTCCACAGCTTTAGCTTTCTGATCACCTCAGTAATACCARAAAATASTAARATGGGAATTCCAAYGTACCAATAAACAAAATAACTCGGYAGCTAKTCAGGSTTTAGSWGGTTTCTCTGTTTCTCACCTGTGAAGAGATCCCAACCCTCATTCAAGGAGAAGATTGGTGAGAACCAGATGAGGTCAGTAAATAGATATTTTCCACTGTTCATCTTTTTTTTCCAAACTATAATTGAAGCTTCCCTAAGGATATTTCAGCAGGTCAAGGCCCATCATTTGAGATGCTTCTAGAAGGCTGTGTGAGCAGGTTCCCTGAGCAACACTGGACCAGACATTCCCCAGCATTCTGAGAGGCTTTCCTCATGCCAATAAATCAGTTATTTATGGCCTAGAATGTAGTGGTTGACCCGACATTAACTGGTTAGTGTTAGGACAAAACTAATGAGTTTTAGTCCCTTAAGCCTCCTTTGCTTTGTCACTTGTCATGGGATATAATTCAGGGGCAGGCTCATGGATCAGAAAGGTTTCTTAAAGTTTTGCATTATTTAATTTAGTGGCAGGAATAGCAAAATGGGTTGAAGGAAGCAGAAATAAGTGTAGTGATGATGGTGCATTCAAAATGGAACTGTTTGGAGCTTTATTATTGACCTTTCCTTCTCGATAACCAACCATTATTTCCTCAAACCCAAGGTGCTCTCAGTCCATCACTGACAGCATTAAGGCCTGAGGATTCTAGAAGAAACTCAAGTTTTTCTGAAGAAATTCAAAGTATTGGTTTGGTTTGCAAAGTTTTTCATGGGAAACATCAAACTCTTAGCAGAAACTGCTTTTATTTTCTGTGGGGGAACYGGCCAGATTCTGTCTCCTGTTCTGCTATTTTGGATGTCCACATGACACTCAGCAGAGTCCCGCTTTAGATCCACCTAAAAATGGCATTTCTCCAGGCAGAGAAATCTACTGGTTTAGACAGAGCTGCTTTGAAGGCACAGTGGTTTTATGGTAAAAAAGGCAAATTTGTCTTTGGTATCCTGAGCTCTGGATGTGAAATTTGGCTGCAATAYCTGKCCAGATCCTTCTGTGKTGGCTTTAGCAGGGTGAGAACATGRGCTCAGRGAATCCTGGAWAMTCCTGGTTTTTACATGAGTTTARTACMAGCAGAGCCCATTGATTAMCATTGATTGGGACTATCTGGAACTCCTAAAGGAAATCTGAAAAGATTTAAAAGGATGATTTCAAAGGTATAAGATGAGACATTGTTTTGAAAAGATGAAAATATATCCAGGTCCAGATATCTGTRCCCTAGATATAGATACATGTAGATATAAGGTTYYTTCTCTTTATTTMTTCTCACTGTTTCATTTCTGCCCATCCCATTAATTCATGTGTGGCCTGTGCTGGATGCTATAGGGGAAGGGAACAAAATTTCACTTCATGATTTCTGTGGGTACATATTTAAGAAATTGGAGCTACATTAGGGTGTCTTGAATGGTCAGTTTTACTTTCTTGAAATAAATTTTAATTRCAGAGAAACTCATAGTCATGAACCACTTTCTCAACCACTTTATCAACCATTAACCACTTCAKCTTTTTAAGGTTTAAGTTAAGATAGATTTTAACCTACACCATGCAATGAAGGTTTTACTGAAATCTTAAAAAAACCCACTTACTTGACTATAACAATGTGATATCCTAAAAGCTGCAACTTTATCCTAAAAGCTGAAACTTTACACAGCTCAAGAGCAGAACTTAAATTTGAACGGATATGAAGGCACAAAACTTCAGGAGGTCTTAGCAGGAACTTTATATATAGCTGRAGAAAATGTCACATCTTATTTTAGAAGGCAGTGGTTTGTTACTTCCCAAACTGAACTGATTAGGCTTTTTTTTTTATCTCCTTCTTCACATGGGGTAGAACCTTATTTTGATGAATAGGTGYTCCTTATTTTCCTTCAAATTAAATCACTTTTCTTCCTAAGATTTGTCTAAAATTACCTTTTCTTCAGGAAATTTGTACTCTCCTTTGAAAGGTATGMTGCTTACACATTCCAGACCAGTGCCCCTGTAAACACACAGAACTCCCCCAATCCCTCCTCATTGCTTTTATTCTGCAATGATTTTATCTGGTACCTACTGACTACTAGAACTGTATTCCAAGTGGCATTTTGGAATGCAGGTTTTTTTTCTGTTCAGTCTGCAGATGTTCCCCACAGCAGATGCACAACTTGAAAAAGAATAACTGCTAAAAATATGCAAGCTGTCAGCTTGGTTTTCACTGAGAGAATTCTAACTTCAAGTAAGATAAATTAGTATTTAAATGCAATGTAATACATTTAAATTATTCCCAAAGACTGATGGCAATCTCATCAAATGGTGCAAGTAATCATATCATAAATGCTTGATTTGAGTCCAAAGAGGGATAAAGGTGGGGTAAAAACGTTACTGTATAAGCTAAAAATGCTGACACGAGTTTTGGAAAAGGAAACACTAAAAAGCTTCATCAAATAAGTGATATTAATAWTGTATTCCCTTTTATTCACAACTTWAAAACAGCTCTTCCTTTGTGCTTAYACCTTTCAGGTCTCATACCTGTAATGTTGTTTCACCTGACCTTGCAGAAAAGAATTGTCTTAGTGTACTAAAAAGCTATGAAAGTATTGGAAATTCAAACAAACCTTTATAAAAGCAAAGAATTATGATTCCTTTTTACTTAATTCAAGGTTAATTTTCCTTGTCAGGAGGACAGTAAAATAAAAGTACTGAGAATTTGAGAGACCAATGGCAACCACAGAGCCCGTGCACCTCCAGCAGCTCCCATTTGTCAAAGTTGCACCCATTGATAAAGTCAGCATGAGGACACTATTCCAGGAAGCTCCTTTTTTCATTGCACTCACACATACTAAATCAAGAGAAAAAAATCATATGCTGCGACTGTTGGTAGAGAAAATCTGACAAACTGGCAGATTTTATGTCTATGGAAGAGTTATGGAATGATGTACCTTAAGCAGAGATCAAAATTTCATGACAGTGTTTCTGTTCCTTTCCCCGATGTCAAAGTGTTCCCTCTCGTTTGAGTGTGGGTGTGCACATATAGAAAGTGAGATTAATGCAGTCGGGAACTCTGGCTAAAAACAAAGACAGTCTCAGGGAATAACTTGGAAGCAAGTCTGTCTTTCCAAGCGCAGACTTTAAAACTCCTACCTCTCCGCAGATTCATCTGCATTTTCTTCTGTGATCATCTGCAGCTCCTGCGTGGCTTTACTTGSATCTTCTTTGACAGAGTTTTCCTCCGTGCCAGTTTTGGGAATCTCCTCATTTGCCCGCAGCTGCTCTATGAGGTTCTGCTGGTGCCAGCTGTGGATGGAGCGGTGGTGCACGGGGGTTGGCCCCGGCACGGGGGCCAGGATRTTGTGGTGGACGGGGCTGCTGTTCTTCTTGAGCCCATTTCTGTCCCGAGAGTGGCTCTTGAGCCTGCTCTGCACCGGGGTGCCCCTGTGTTCGTACCCTTCTTGCTGATGGCAGCTCCCCGGGCCGGCAGAGCCCTGCGAGGGGTGGCTGAACCATCTCCAGCGGAGCCTCAGGATCTGCTTCACATCGAACTCCTTCTTCCCCGACACTGACATCTCTCCAGG